TTGTCAGATTGTAAGGGGTTCTGGAGAGCCTGTTTCTGTAGCCAAAAACAGAGACCAGGTTGATTGGTGAAATTCTAGGTTATTCCTGCGAGCAAGAGGAAAACAGCCAGGTCTCCCCTCTGAGCTGTTTCTGGTTCAGCCCTGGCCCCCCTTAAGTTAATCTACAGAAACAGGTTCTGTACGACGATTAAAGAAGGGGAATAGCAGGTTTCACAATGTTCCAAAATGCAATGGACCCTCTAAGGAGGCAGCTTCTACAATGCTCACTAGGAAATTAGACCAACATTTCTCCAGGGGCCATTAGATTGTCATCCCCTGAAGCCTCATGGGACCTTGTTTATCCAAATCTGGGTGGTGTCTCCTGTCTGGCTACTTATCTTACTGACCTTGCTAGCCTCCTTCCTGAGCTGGAGCATCTCTGCTGATTAAGCTGAAAAGGAACTTTGACTGTAAGGGAAACAAACGGGTGGTTACATTTTGGGTTTTTAAAGGAGTACTGTAACTTGAGGCCTTTGATCTTGCTGGAAAGGTCCTGAAATCAATCTTCATGGGACCCTACTTGGATGGTCTCAGGCCAGGCCCCCACCCCACCCCACCCCATCATTCGGGGCAGTTGGTGTTGCAGGGGTGCTGGTGGGCTGCAGAGGCGTCAGACTGTCCAGTGGCAGCGCAGCAGTGGGTACAGGATGGGTGGGGAAGGTGGAGGGCAGGAGGACCCCCATAGCACGCACAGCCCCCAGCTAACTCTGGGGGTCAGCTGGCAGGAAATATGGGGAAGCAGAAGAAGGAAGCGACGTGCCAAGCAGAAGTGGGCACGGCTGCGTCTCGGGAGAGACCGCAGGCAGCGGAAATGGGGAAATGACCGGGTGTGGGTGCTGGCTGGGGGCTGAGGAGGGACAGGGTGGGGCCCGCCGGTGGTTGCTGCTGGAAGCTGCTGCGGGCAGTGGAGTCTGCAGCTCCCATCACGGGTGCCTCTTGGCTAAAGACCCCCGCGGTGCTGCCTCTGTCCTTCGGAGGGACGCCCTCTTGCTGGGGCCGACACGCAAGATTCCGCCTGCCTCGCGGGGGTGGGGGCAGGCCGACCTACGTCCCAGCGCCCGCCCCGGGTCGCCGCCAGCCGCGCGGCCAGGGCGCCCCCTGGTGATCACACGTGGCCGTAGCGCAGACGTCCGTGCGTAGACGTCCCCCGCGGTCTGCGGCTTCTCCGGCCCCGCCCCGTCGTTAGGACACGCCCCCAAGGCCCGGCTGGAGCGTGCGGCTGGCGTGGCGCCGCGAGCGGCGGCGGACGGTTTGTGGGCGGGACTTCCGGCCACGCAGGCAAGCGTCTTCCGGCCGTGCTTGAGGGTGGTCCGGCCGGCCCACCGGCGGGGAAGGTGAGCAGCTCCGCAGCGGCCGGCCCGGGACCATCCGCGCCCCGCGTCCCTCCCCCTCCGCGACGGGCGCTGGGCCACGAGATCGCGGGCGGGAGCGGGGAGGAGGGATTGTGCGCGTGAAAGAGGGACAGCCGACGTGGACCACAGCGAGTGGGGACGTCAGTGCGTGGGCCCAGCGCGTGTGGACGGGGGGGTGTGTGGACAGGCGAGTGGACAGTTGTGGGTATGCGTGTGGACAGTTGTGGGTGTGCACAAGTGAGCGTGGATGGGTGTGAGAGGGAGCACAGACAAGTGTGCCGAGTGTGGTCGCAGAGTGAGAGCCGAGGACATGTGAGTGGATGAGGACGAGTGTGTCCCAGAGGGTGTGAGTGTCCCCGAGTGGGACAGAGGAACAGGGGTCAGCATGTGCACAGACTGACAGACGGGCTTGTACCTGGGAGAGTGAGGAATTGTGGGTGGGCCCTGTGTGTGCAAGTGATCGTGTGACCCTTCGGACTCCCGCAGACCAGGCTGGCCAGGGCTGCCCCCAATGGAGGACCAGTGACCCTGGGACCCGGTGGCACGTGGTGGATGAGCCACACCGTGGTGTAGTGTAGTTATACTGGTGTCTGGGGGGAATGGGGAGGTGGGCGGTGGCAGCTGCTGGCCCTGGGCTGTGACTGCCCTGCCCTCACAGGGTCCAGTGACCCTCACCTGCAAAACAGGTGGGACACCTGCCCTAAAGCAGCATGTGAAACGCCCCCGCCGCCCCTTGTCGGGGTGCAGCAGGAGCCTTGCGGCCGAGGGGGTGGTTGCCAACGCCGGGACAGCTGCTTTTCTGAAAAGCTTTGTCATAACTGAGGAGGCGTACAAGAGAATCATCAGTTGTGTGGGGAACCATCTCTACATGTTGGGTTTCAACTCACTCGTTGCAGCCCCTCTATTATGTGGTTGGTCACTGTGGCACGGGCTGCCCGAGTTCCGTTCGAGGCCTGAAGGTGACCCCCGACTGACCAGCCTGGTCTCCTTCATGATTTGCGGGGTTCCCCATGTTCCCTCCACTCTCTCCAGGACCTCCAGCATGGTCCTTTCAGCAGCACTGTGTGGTGGGAGCCGAGACCATCTGGTTCCTGTGGTAGCAGCATTTAGCTGTGACGTCACTCTCCTTGGATCAGTGACTGGGGGGTGGGTGGGTGGGGGGTGCAGGTCCCTGGTCCCCGCTGAGTTACTGAGGGGTGAAGTCAATTAAAGGACAGCACCAACCAGCTCTTCAAGACAGAGATGGCACACAGGAGGAATTCGGGCTTCAGGCGGAGTCAGACACCTGGGCTACTCTGGCTACAGATGTTTGCACACAGGCCTTTCCACGCAACACACACATCACACACACAGGCACACATACCACACGCCCACCCAGTCCACACATGCGTGCCCACACAGCACACACATATGCACAGGCATACATACCGCATGGCTGCAGTGTCCACGTGTGTCCACATACCACATATATCACATGCACACATGCCCCCGGTGTCCATATGTGTGTCTTTGTACCATGTGCACATCATATGCACAGACACAGACCACACACACACCTGCACAGTGTTCATACACATGTATGTGCATACCACACTAGACTCAGGCCACATGCCTGCAGTGTCCATATGTGTGTCCACATACC